TACTACCTATGGAGGTATATATGCTGCTATCTAAAAGAACACGTTTTCTTTTAAGATCCTTATTCCCTTGCAGTGGATAAACGTGTGGTGTAAGGGGTAAGGCTGTAGTGTAACAACTGACTATAATAAGGCTGAAAAAACGGGAGTTATCGGAGTGATCCTGGCTGACAGATTTTTATATTTCGAGATAGATCAGCTCCATATTCTTATAGCCTGACTTGGCTATGAGACTTGTTGCCAACTCTACTAATCACTGTTCGCGGTGGTCTTGAATCCATTGGGAGCTCGGTGGTTTTGCGGTTTTATGCCGTGCGGGACCGCCGTACTTTCCTGCATACTCACTACGGTGGACCTTCACGGTCCCGAAACGTCCTCTTCTAAAGTGCAATCACGAGCTTTATTCTTGGGCCTTTTAAACCTATTGTGCATGTGATTCCAGCTACTCAGCGCAGAGCTGATGCCAATGACCGAAGAAATCCGCTTATAACTGACTGAAAAGAAAAGTGCAGGAACGTGTCCGGTTGAAGGCAGGTCGCCAACGTGGGTAGCAAAAGCTTCAGTACATAAACCATAAACGCCATATCAATAATCACATACGACCACAGGTCATAGAATACTGGGCATCCCGTCCGCTCTGCCATACATAAGCTATGAACCGGCTGATTAGTAGTTAGGTGGGTGACCACTAGCGAATCCCAGCTGTTGTATGTTTTTGCCTTTTTGGCTTTCTTTTTTGTTCATCTACAGTAGATGCCGAATCGAGTCTTCTTTCTGGTTCTCTTTGGCTTTTTTGAGAGGATGTTTGACAGAAGTGAGCATCAGGAAGGAGGCAGATAGTTTGCCTTGTATTGTTGCCGGGACCGTTTGCTCTCTTGTAATTTGTTCTTTGGCGTTTGGAAGGGCTTTTTGTTTGTTTGTCGGCCGGAGAGTTCTTGTCCCTGTTCGCGTTATCATGCTGATAGTAAGGCTCTTGCTTTGTGTAACAGTGTTAAGCGAATCTGCCACAAAGCCTCGGTACTTACTGCGGAATCCTAGCTCATTTGCCCCTCCCTATCCCGAACACACAGCTTACACGAAGTGGCTTTCTTTCCTTTCACCCAAAAGTGCGGCTTGGTTGAGTGCTGAGGCTATCCTGGCTAACAGTTAATAGACTTCAAGCTTCTACGTCTTACCCTTCTCCGCCCAGCGCTCGGACACCGGCTTCATCCCTCATATCCCTCATACCCCACTATGGAAATCGTCTCCGAAGAACACCTACGTCCCTGTATCCGCGGCGCACTATACGCAATGGCAGCATGCGAAGGTCTTGCCTCTCATGATATAGCAAAGAGCAACCCCCGCCCCAAAGTCGGGCCCATCACAGCTACAACGCTCTGCATCACGCAAGCCATCATAGCACAGGAAGAGCGCAGCCACGACCAATTCGCATACGTAGAAGGGCTTTTGGACTGGCTGCACAGCCCCGCGAGCCCAGGAGAGTCTACAGCCATCCCACGCGCTCTCGCGGCGGCGCTTGCGGCCTGGGACGGCGTGATGGGGTTCGCGTTGGCGGCGGGGGAGCTTCCAGTGCTGGAAGCGGGTGGTTTTGCTAGGGATGTGATGTTTCGTTATCTGCAGGAGAAGATCAATGGAGCGTTGGCGACTGAGGTAGGTTCCTTTTAGCTCTCCCTCTTTTGCGCCATTAGGCGTATAATACGTTTGCAGAGCCATCAGAACGCACTGGGCCTCGCGTACACCGTTCCTGTCGCCCTGCACCTGGTTATGAGAGACTGGCGGGACAAGCTACTGCTCGGATCGTGGGCCGTGGATCTTTCGTGCCTCGTCAACCCGCACGACACGAACAATAGGCTGGCGTTTCTGTTCTGCAAACTGGTGCGAAGCGCGTTAGCTGCTTCGCCGGACGGAGCTTTCGAGCCCTGTTCTCCTCCGCCTTGCAAGCTAGATAAATTCTGGCTGGCGACCGATTTCGCAGAGAAAGTCAGTGCGGTCGACTCGCAGACTTGGAGTGACGGAAGTTGGGGAGATTTCTCAATGCTCTTGGAAAGGCTGCGGCCATACAGGGACCTTGAAGCTTGGAGAGCAAAGCCTTTGTCTTCACTCAAGGATACGGATTTTGCGCTCGATGCTGTTGAAGTTGTACTGTGGTGTTTCTTCTCCACAGACACGCTGAAGGAAGGCGCTAAGACGGTCGAACGTTTCCACGGAGACCCCGGAGCGGTCAGCGCTTTGTACGGAGCTCTGTCCGGCGCCTTTTATGGGTACAGCGCTATACCGAGCGAGTGGGTCGATGCCATCCCTGCGCACAGTGGCTTGGATGACGCGATAATCGGTATATGTAGTTTGCGCGATAAGCAATTGGAAATGTAGAATGAGAGTGCAGTGGCTTGATGAGGCAGAGCTTGAGAATAAAAGTACTGCTAAGAGGGGATAGGTAACCAAGTAATCAAGCAATCACTATAGGGCGATTAGGCTTCAGCAAACGCATACTTATCTGACGGGATACTCCGGGTTTTTTCCCAAATAGGTAAAAGGAAAGCGGAGCCGGAAATACGCGAGCGCAGGCGGGGCCCGGGGGACCAGGGTAGCACGTGGGGGCCGAACAAGCCGTGGGAGAAAATCGTACGAGGCGTTGGCCCCCACCAGCATTTTTAGCCAGGGTCTGCACATGCTTACTACGTAGGGACAGAACAGCCTTCATGTAGCTGGTCTTCCGCCCCCTCAGCACCGGGACTACCGCAGCGTGCAGCTAGCTTGTCGTCATCGCCACGATGGCCGGAGCCCCAAAACACGAGTACAGCACGCTGGAGGTGAGCGCGCAGCAGCCGAGCGACCTGCCCGAGGTCGTTTCGCATGACCTGCCCGAGGCCATCTCGACCGACTTGCCTGAGGCCGTGCCGCAAACTAGTGCCTCCAGTGCGCCAGAGCCCATTTTCGCATCCTACCACGACAAGCAGCTTGACGCGGATGTGGCCCCTGCGCCGGAAAAGAGGTCGTCGATATGCGGCCTACGGAAAAGGACCTTCTGGATAGCGCTCGTGGTTGCGCTTCTCGTTATCATCGGCGTCGCGGTTGGCGCAGGCGTCGGTGCGACCAGGAACAAGGACTCCGATGACAGTAGCTCCTCCAGTGGAGCCAGCAGCAGCAATTCGTCGACTCGCGGTATCATTTCGACTTCGCGTCTGGCTGCGGCAAACTACACCGATGCGGCTGGCGTCGAGCACTCCCAGCTCTACTACCAGGATGTCTCCTTGGATATCTGGATGGCCGACTGGAGCGAAAAGAACAACAACTGGACTTTGGGAAAGCTCCAGCCTAATGACAACACATCCGACATTACGCCAAGGAACGGGACGCCCATCGCGGCGTACAACTTTTGGTATTCGGAAGAAGTGCGTCCCTTTCTTCAATCCACGCTTTTATCCGACATTCTTTGCTGACAGACATCCGCCACACAGCGCAGCGACTTCCGCTGCCTCTACGTTGACAACACCAGCAACGTCAACATTCTCTACGTGCTGAACCAGACCACAAGCAACGGCTGGGGCGTAATGGAGCAACTCGAGGGCATGACCTCGACGAACGCAAACTCTAGCCTCGTAGAATATATGGCGCAGTGCAACGCGACCACCACATGCAACTCGGCCGACGTCGCGCTTTTCGAATCACCCAACGGCGACATGACGCTCGCCTACCCATTCGGCAACGAAGAGAAATCGGGTTCCGCGACCGCGGCGAAGTTGCGCGTTACGGACGTCGATCCTGACCCAGGGACAGCCATGGCCGTGGCACCAGTGCCTAAGATCAAGAAGAGAAACGACAGCTACCCGAAAGTGGCGCTGTACCTGAGCGCGGGCGGGATCCTGAACGAGCTGTACGGAGGTCGGAACATAGGCTGGACCAATGCCAACCTCTGTAAGTCCACCCTCTCAATCCTCTGCAACAGCAGCAGCTAACACTTTCCCCTCTCCCCAGCAAATCTCAACTACGCCGTCGACACTGGCGCCCAAATCGCAGCAATGACGCAATACCGCAAAGACGACGACGACGACGAAATCGACTTCAACACCCAAGTGCTGATGACGAAGACGGGCGGCGGCGTGCGCATGGCGTACATGGACGGCGACGCCTGGCAACTGGAGAACGACGTCGCAAGCATGAAGAACGTGCTTCCGCTGTCCCCGATTGCGGCGAACCAGCTGGGGCGCGTGTATGCGCTGGAGGAGGGTCCGAAGGTTGTTGAGTGGAAGAGGGTGACTGGCTCGACGCCGACGTTTGAGCGCGTGGGCGTTGTCGATACGACGGGGAGTTGATGCGTGAGAGTGACGATTCCTGTCTGTAGGGAGGGGTGCCGCCGTGTATAGGGTGTAGGATACCTGCTGCTAATTGCGGAGGACAGCGTGATGGATCATGTCCTTGATGTTTTCTTTGTTTTCTATCCCGCATCGTTTCTGGATCTTCTCATTCTTGTTGTAGAATATACCCATACCCACTGAATATATGCCGAATCTGTTTTAGCACTACCAACAGGTTTTGCACAGAAAAAAGGAATACCAAGATTACCTCTTTCTCCTCTGACCGTTCTACTGACCCCAAGAACCCTGCAGCCAGCACCTCCACTAGTACCGTTTACGGGGCAAAGAGCTTCCAAGACCGCTTAAGCAACAAATAAGCTTATCCGCTACCACGGCGTCCCGGCTCCCCGGGTCGTGGGTTCGCATAACGATTAACGGCCGGATTGGCGCGATCGTCCGACGTCTGCTGTGCCGCGACCCGTCGACTCTCCATCACCTTCGACGGCGAGGACATGAGTGAGCTCGAACATCGCTTTTCTCCGTGCCTCTGCATTGCTCTTCCAGTCCTCCTCGCTTCTCTTGTCCGGATCCGCTGAAGGAACGCGGAGGATTCCGCGATACCGTGAGGATCCTGCGACCTGCGACATGCCCTGCGCCACGGCGCCTATTTTTGTCGCACTTGCTGCACCCAGTACTCGCTGCTTGCTGGCGCAGAGCGCTGAGCTATTTCAGGGTAGAAATCCTTACGCCGGAGACCGCGGTTTGGGAGGGCATATCGCCGTGAGAGAGGAGGGTCTGTGTTGAGGTTGAGCTCGAGATGCCGGTCTTGCGGTCTTGCGGTCGCTCAGTGGTCGGCCGCTGGCGCTAACTGTATCGGGTGGGAGGGTCGAGGCGGGGTTGCGACCACGTGCTTTGCGTCCTACACCCTCAAACCCGCCTAAGTACTCTTTTGTCAAAATCATCACACAGCCTTCATGAACCCAAACCCAGCATTACATCCCAAATTGAGCATCGTTGCGGTTGCAGGCGAAACAGCCGCATCACGTGCACCCTCCGCCAGGCACCACGGAGGCCGCGCGTTAAGTCGCGCCAGCCTGACTCGCGCTCGACACGTCAGCTCCTGCTCGCACGCGTTTTTCCGCTGGCGGTTTCACGGTCCGCGATCGCGAGCTGCCGCTGTAAGCGCTGCTACTTAATCCGTACATATTTCGGATCCTCCCGAGTGCGGCGGTTTCGGAGACGGTGTCGGCTGTGTTGGATGAGGAGGTGAGGCTGGTGGGATGATGGGATGCGGTGTTGGGCGGTGTTGAAAGGAAGGCTGGTAAGCTCTTGTTATACCTAGTCGGAGAGAAGATGTTGTTGATTGGGATGGACAGACCGAGAGGATGACAGAAGCTAAGGGAGCTTGTCAATGCTATGATGCGCAGAGGAGTAGCTAACGTTGTTCTTATAGGTAGGGCTTAAGCATCGAAGGTACAAGACCCAAGAGAAGATTGGGAAAGAGATGTCAGTTATGCATAAAATTATGCTTATCCCAAGATCTAAATCATTCCAGAACAACGATGGAAGCAAGGGGCTAAAAGCTCTAACCAAGTTAATGGCTAGAATAGCGACTACTAAATAAGCAGCACTTCAGCCCGCCGCATCAACAGGGCAGTGTAGCCCGACAAGATACTTGGGTCAAAGCAAGAGCATACACTGCAGCAAAGACAAGATTCAGTCGCACCCTCTACAGGATTCTATGCTACTAAAACCCCGCACCATACGCTATAGCTTTAAACCGCTAAGCATTTTACGTCTTAGACAGCAAGAGTATAAGACCGACTCGACTCACTGCTTTCTAGCATTGTAATGTTTCTCTCCCGAACGCTGAGAGTAAAGAGGCTTACGGGAGAGGTATTTAGAAGAGCTTATGCAAATAAGAGACACATCTTCAAACATTTAACCCCTGAGAATATCACAAGACACACTGAATCAATCTATTAGCAGAGAAGCATCGTTTTGTCGAAACCCAACGAAGTGTCTTCTAGTGAGGAAGATCTAATGATTTTCTTCTCTCACAGATGCAATGACGTAGGTGAAGATAGAAGATCTTCTGTACGCTGATCCTCATCTTGTCGAAGATATCTAGATCGCTGGTCTCACACACGTGATCGGGTCTCTTTTAACGGCCAACGGTCGTACAGCACACAACTGCATATTCAAAGTTCATTGAAGAAAAGCAGAGCAAAGGATGCGCATTTCAGATTCGCCAGTAAAATGTATAACAAGGTATTCTTCAATCAACCACAGCAGTGTTTGCCATCAGACCAACCAAACCATTAAAATAAACCATTACCATTAACCAACGACCATTTAGGCCTTGTCCGGGCACTCGATGTCCTTGCCCATGTTGAAGAAATCGCCGTTCTTGGTTCCGCAGAGAGCACCCTTGCCACCGTTGTCGCCCATGCACTGCAATTTCAGGTTAGCACTCGACGTCATCAAGAAGAGCTAGCATCCGTAGGCACATACAGTGGTTTCATGTCCGCAGGGGTAATCCAGGCCAGCGATCTTGCAGCCGTTGTTGTGGCACTCCTGTAATTCCACATCGTTAGCCACAAGGACTTGTTTTCAACAGAAGACGGCGGGATGACGCACTCCGCAGTACCACCAGTCGTTGGGGCAAGCAAACAGGCCGCCGTAGGGGACGGCAAAGACGGTCGTGCTCGTCAGGATAGCGAAGGTGATGGCGAGGTTCTTGAGCTGCATGGTGGATAACGAGTGACTTTGATCTTTGGGTAATGATAGGTAGGTAGGTTGAAGGTGCGGCGGGCAAGAAACGGGCAGTGATCGAGCTCTTGAAATAGACGCGAGCTTCACGGATCCGGAGAGATGCACGGCCTTGTCTCCTTGAAATTGAGCTGCCTAATAACCGTGCTCAGAGATACCACTCTGCACGGATGAAGTGAGCGCATCCAGTTTTAGCTCGTGTTCTCAATTTACGGTTGTTTTACGAGCATGCCGAGCGGGATTCACCTTCACTCGTCGGGGTTTTTCGTCCGGCCATCATCGAACAATTGAATTCCCTTGTGTTCCCGCTATGCCGGACATGTACGTCTTATTGTCCCGACAGAAGCCCATCCCCTGGCCGGATCATACGGCTGCCGGCTCCATACGGCAGCCAGCCCCACGTATGCACGTGCCGTGCCGTGCCGTACCCCATCCTGGAGTCGGTCCGAGAAGCGAGCAGCTCGTATACTCCTAACCACTGAGCGCAGCTACAAATCAACCTGGAACAATCGGAATTCGCTCCGCACTAATAGCGATTGGAGGGCGATCATGTACATCAGACAGCGGTACTGCTGCGGCGCGGGGCAGTGCTTTGGCATGATATTCGGCTAGGAAGTTGATGGCTTTGAAACTTCTCTACGGTTTCTTCAAGAACGCCGGAGCTCGAGCCATCAGCCTCACGAGGCTATGAAGCAATATGCGCAACACGAACAGTACGTAGTAAGGGGTACTGTGCACGAGTAATCGTCTTGGTAGAGATCGGAAGTCGGAAGAGCAGTCTGGTGATCGATTAACCCCATCACACTTTCTTCACCAAATGATAGGTTTTCGCGAGCCAAAACTCTCACTAACTCCATTTCTATCTGGTAACTCTCATGTTGAAATCGAGCTCAGCCTAAGACTGTTCTACTTTATCGCTCTACCGTGCCATGTCCATGCTTGGACCAACTCCTCCCAGTCACCAATTTCATATCCGAAAACAAGAGTAGCTATACTAACTGGTTCGCCAGCAACTTCAGTCCACTCGTTTTCTTTATCATCTAAGCCTCCTTCAATACGGTATCCCTTAATCCATCTTCTTTCTCCTTGTATGCACTCCTCATCAATAGTAAGAAAGTGGCGTCTATCGAAGTCTTCAGACTGAGGAAGAGACTTTAGGAAGTTAACTATATTTGGAATAGTCTTTCCTAAGTAAGGCGAACGCCAACTAGGGTCGAGTGGTGTTATTGTCATGTTAGGATGGTCCGACGTAATAGGTACTTCTACTGTATCTGTCGCTAGCCAAATTCTAGGACAGTCGAACTCTTCATAAATTTCGTCGAGTATTTCGTCTAAGATCTATGATTACAGTTAGTATTTACGACTTAAAAAGAGTATATAAAAAGAAAAACAGAAAAAAAGAAAGCTATTAGAATTATCTTTATACGCGTTGATTGTAGTACTACATGCTTTATTTCTGACAAAAGACTTACATTGGTCGGGACATCGGCCAGTACAAACATTCCAAAAAGGCCTCCTGGTTCTCCGTACCACTTTCTCGGAACTTGTGGGTGCGATGGAGGACCTCGGCCTGTCATTTTTTTTACTTCGGCAAAGTTCTTGTACGAGCAAACACAGACGAATCAGCAGGCCAGGTGAGATGAGAGATGTGATCTGAGTTTAGTGCAAGGTTATGCAGATAGTGGCGTGAAGGTTGAATGGATTGAAGTAAATAGAGAGGGGTCGAGTGTTTTTATAGTTTCATAAAGCCACGTCGTCTTTTTTCCTTACACTTCGGTAGCGATAACTGCAACCACGTCATGGAAACATTCGGCGATCATGCCTTTCATGCCTTAGGTAAAACCGCTACGGTTGATGGAGACACTCCGTTAAAGCAGCAAATGTCGAAACAAGACTAGGAACTTCGTGATAAGTTTTTCTGAATCGCACGATCGCTTTGCTGCTTTGGGTTTCCAGGCAGCAAGCTGACGTCAACTGCAGGTAGCAGAACCACTCTTCTACTCGCTACAAATGTCTGTTAATTGCCCCTAGGCAATTAACCACCACATATAATAGCATGCTAACAAATTTTCAAGTCTTCCATTTTTTTTCTTTAATCCTTATAATTCTACAGTGCTTTAGTATACGTGTATGTTGTGTCCTTTCGAATGTCCTAGCTCATAGTATCTTTTTGTCTTTCTATGTCTACCAAGCGATTTCACACGGTGACATTATAGCTTGATCTAGCTACTTAAAGAGTACCCGGTAAGGATAATAACGTTTACTTAACATGTAGCGGAGACTAGGGCGAAACAGATAAGAGAACTATCAAATCATTTAGAGTCTAGTGAAGATAGCTACAAGGTGGGGAAGCTTCATATATAAGGAATTAGTTAAAAGAATATCCCACGGTTGCTACACGGTTGTGTCTCACAGAATGCTTAGTTCTAGATGCTGATTAGGCGCTTCCTCCTTAGGCTTGCAGCAGTGTGACCTCAACCATAAAACCCCGCTCTTACCTGCGTTGATGTGCGACAACGTTTTATTGACTACATTTGCATGCTCACGTCATCGTGTCTGGGGACAACAAACTTCTGCAGGAGCCTGCTTTAAATTGTGTGAATTATCTTTCAGGACACCTGGAGACTCAAATTTTAGCCTAGAGAACATTTGGTTCTCTTTGTTCTACAAGAATGGCTGCTAAGGAAGGTGAACCGTCTTCAAAAAACCTGGATGTTCATGAAAGGTGACTGAATCTTCAAATGGCATTTCCCAACCACTAACGCCTATCAGAGCATTGACGAGTGAAAGGTGGGATGAAGCAAAACAACATTTGAAGTTGAAGGAACGGAAGTTTCTGGAAAAAGCGTGTGAAGGGTTTGACCAGCCATTGCCGTCGGCTCTTCAATCAAGCATCAGTACTCAACAACGCCATTGCGACGACAAACACTGGCTCTCTTATACAAATGAAAATGGCGAAACGGTTTATTTGCGGAGCGTCCTTGAAGAAATTGCAGGTTACATAGAGAAGTTCAAACAGTTTGGAGATCAGATTGTCCAGTTCGCTCCAAACTACGCCGCTATTCCATGGGCTGCTATTCGGCTTGTTCTTCAAGTAAATCAAACCGCTTAGCATTGCCAATGTACTAGCTAACTTTGACTTGGAAAGATTACCGTCAACGACGTTCAAATTTTCACAGAAATGGCCGAAGGAGTCCGGAAAGTGGCGCGTGTTGTTGACTTCTATGGCGAATGCAAAGCGAAATACCTTCACGGCTCCTCGAACTTCAAGGAAATGCTTTCTGATAGCATAGTCAAACTATACGTATCTGTTTTGAAGTACCTCATCGCGGCACAGAAGTACTACAGCCAGCAATCCTTCCGTAAGTACACTAGATCTTCTATTTTCACCTTTGAAAGCTAAAAGGCACTGCTAGGCAGGTTCTTGGAAAACATCTACTTGAGATCAGAGACAGTAAAGTATCTACTACGCGATATCGAAGACGATGCAAGAGAAGCGAAAGATCGCGTACAACGAGTGGCAAGTGAAGGTTTATAGTGCTCACTCTTTCAGTTTATTTTAGCGATTAACACATTATAGATACCGACAAGAAGATCAATGAAGGTTTCAAAAGCATGCACCAGCATCTCGAGCCATCACTGAATGACCGGAGAAAGAGTCTCCTAGAGCGCATTGCTGGCACATTTACGGACAACGAGCTCGATATCGCAAGGGAGATCCGCCATAGAAACACTTGCAATTGGATGCTACAACGTCCTTCCTTCCAAGCCTGGAAATCATGCACAGCAGACCATGTGTATTTGCTGTGGATCCATGGAGGTCCCGGATTCGGAAAGACGGTTTTGACATCCAAGCTCATCGATCATCTAGTGTAAGAAAATCCCAAGTCAACTGTATCCTTCCTCGTGGGTGATACAAAAGCGGACAACGACCCAGCCGTTATTGTCTGCTCTTGGGTGGCGCAGATGATACGGATCAACGATGATGCCGTTGAACTCGCAGATGAACACCTTCCTCTCACACTCGAACCGTCCACTGGAACAATTTGGAGAATTTTTGAAGATATGGGCAAAGCCATTGATAAGGCGGCCTATGTTGTTGATGGATTTGACGAGCGCTCTCCTGTAAATAACATTGCCAAGCACGACACCACAGACAGGAGGCTAAGCTTTTTGGATACTTTGGTGAATAGAATTGCAAAAACTAAGGCTCATGTCCTCGTTGTCAGTAGGGATATCGCCGTTATCAGGTCCTGCTTAGGCAAAGGCAGACTATGGCCCCACGACGTTGTGGCGTACGAATATTCAATCTCCAAAAACGATACCAAGAGGGACATCCAGACCTGTTGTTCTACGGAATTTCAGACGATCAACTGCAGAGAACGGCGAGTCCTGAAGAGAGAAACATCAAAAAAGTGCGACGGGATGTTTCTGATATGGCATTATCTCAGAGAGGAGCTTCAACATGCACACAGCAACCGAGCTAGAAAGAATGTTCTATTAGCGACATCTCAGTACATTGAGGATCTCTACGCTCGAGAACTCAGAAGGATCCTTGGCCCAGATGCGAAACCGTCTGACAGGAATCAAGCAGTATCCATTTTGCGCCTGGTATTTATCTCTCTGAGGCCATTGGAGGTAGCAGAGATGACCAAAATTCTCACTTTATTGTTGGATGACAGCCACGAGCATTTCACATACGACAAGACATGTCTTCCAGATGGATGGAAAGACAACTTTTCCGATTATGTCAATGACCAAATCAGGAGACCTTGTGGACCTCTTATAGAGCTTCGCAAGCCTTCGGGACGACAGAATGGTATTGGAAAACACACCGTACACTTCTACCACTGTACTGTCAAGGAATACTTCCTTCAAACAAATTTCCACATGCCACAGACGGATGATTTGAACATGGAGGATGCCAAAGTACACCACAACTGGCTTGCCAAAATCTGTCTCCAGTACCTATGCTACGACATCTTCAATGTCAACTTCCCCGATGATGGACCCTCTGAAATGGCTTCCGGAAACGAACCTAAAGCTCCACCAGAAGCAAACGACTATCCATTTTTTCGGTATGCATGTCGCTTCTGGCACGAACATGCTATACAGGAAGGGGTGACCAGTTTCGAAGTAAACGAGCTTGCGCTAAGGCTCTTCGACCCATCCAAGACAAACTGGAAAACATGGGCCACAATTTTCGAACGAAACCTCTGTACCGAAAAGTTCGGCATTGCACACCAGAATCTCGAGCCAAGAGGAATTAACCCAAGTCCATTGTACTACGCGGCAGCGCCAGGTTTGATCAATATTGTCCAGTCTCTCCATACCCAGGTATCAGCCTCAACGACGAGGGCGGAGTACTTGGAACGCCCCTCCAAGCAGCAGCGGGAATAAACCATATAGAAGTGGTCAAATACATTCTGAAGCATGGCGGCGATGTGAACCAAATTGCAGGATACTTCCGGTGTGCTCTGACCGCAGCCGCAGCAAACGCTTCGCCGGAAGTGGTACAGCTTCTCCTGGACGCTGGCGCGGCCAAACAATTCCTGGTTGAATACCCAAAACTCAAGTTCTCACCTCAAGTGGTTGCGTCTAAGAACGAAAGGCTCGAAAACCTAAAGTTACTTGCGGCGAATGGTTTCAGCCTCTCTCTTCCTGACGGATACTTTCAGCCACTCGGTGCCGCAGTAGCCGCGGGCCACACAGAAGTTGTCCGCTGGCTTCTGGAGAACGGTGCGAATCCTAACCGTCGAGGCATGAAACGAAGACACCCCATTCTCAATGCCGCTACGCATGGCCACTCGGAGGTGATTGAGTTGCTGTTGGAGGGAGGCGCTGTGGCCTTCCATGAGCGGGGGGGGATCCTTCGAGGAAGGCACTCAAAGCGCTTTAAAGTCCAGTATCAGCGGTGCAGAAGAAGACTACGACGCTGCAGATGTTGTTAGTGCTCTTTGTGGTAAATGGCGTGGCTCCTCGACGAGTTTAAGAACGCACCGTAATGTCGGGGCAGTAGGGACACTTGAGATGACACTCGACAGATCTTGTTTCGAGACTCAGGGTATCACTGTGACTTTCAAGGCCACTGGAACAGACGATATCGGTGTGTTCAAGATATTCGGCAAAGCAATCGGCCTGAGTTCTTTGTGGTGGTTCAAACTGTACGAGAGGCGACGATGTCTGTACGAGGCGACACTGAATGGTCCCGATGGCAAGATGACCGGAACTTGGGGGGCAAACTCTACGGACACTTCTGGAACATTTGAGCTGACTAAGGTTGAGCTTTGATTTAGAAAAGGTAACGTAACAAGGCTTTGAAACGTCGGACCCTTTCATGGAGATTCATTCGGTCTCGCAAAGTAGCGAGGGCGAGAGCGAAGGTGATCTCGAAGGAAGTTTTCGAAGGTGTGCTTGCCTCTTGTTTCTCTTTATAAAATGCTGGGTGACATGTCACATTTTTAAACTTCCCTCCACTGATCACGTTCTTTTCTTTCAAACTAGGACAAAATCTGAATAAGGCAGACGACTAAATGCTCTAGATGTTTGGGAAAGGTCATGGTGTCCACGATTGCTTTGTTAAGTTCTCAGTGAATGTAAACTCTGGTAGCAGCTTCGGGCTGCTGCACTATTCTTACATGCTAATTAATAGATCATCTGGAGTAAATAACATATTAAACATTGTTTCCTATGATCCTATCTGATGCTACGCCAATGACACAAGCAGTGTCTATGGTTTTGATAACGCTTGATTTCTCTTAAATCATTTAAAATGCCTTACACTCCTGTCCTATCTCATTTGTGCGCTGAAACTCAACCATCTTCTCCGCATCCCCTTTACCAAGAACCAAATCCATATTGGAACTCCAAGAGGCCGGCAGCACCGGTTGCGTCGCTTTGAATAGAACATACTGACCCTTCTCGCCACCCTCAATCTTCTCGAACTTGCTCGACTGTACTTCCAAACGAGGTGTAATGGACCCCTGTCTCGGGACCTTAGCCGCAAATTCAAGAACAGCAGGAACGGAAACACTGTCTTTGCGGATAGCGGCCACGACCTGCAGAGGCCAGTTGCCGTCCGCGTCCGCTTCTTGGGGGAGGCACGACTGGTCGAACTGGTAAAGGATACTGTCCTGAACTGGATAGCCATGGCCGTTGTTATCCCGTGTCTCAGTCTTTCCGGCTTCGGTGATGAGAACGTCGAATCCGGAGATGGATGTGTCGGCATCGAGTGTCGTATCAAACTCGAACCAGTTAAATGTGTCTTTCCAGTTGTAGCTCTGGCCGCCGCGAAGCACAGCAATGGTCGTAGCGATCTTGCAGTTGTTACACGACTTGCCGTTGCGATCGCGGTACGCTAGTGACACGCTCATGTCATTAGCATCGCGCTTCGTCGTCTTGATGCGGATCTTTCCACTAAAGTGCAGCGTTTTGGCATCCGAGTTCAGTGACAACTGCAAGCCGTAGGGCTTCACGTCGAGACTATCGATGACGTCGGAGAGCGTGACGGCGGCGGGGACGGTGTCGATCATGCGGGTAAAGATGTCTGAGCAGCGCTCCATGAAGGTGGCCGGGTCGGCGAGAGCTTGCATAGTGACGTTGCCGTCGGCGCCAAAAATGCGTTTGTCCGAGTTGTTTGTCTCATTCTTGCCCACAACGAGAGGGTTCGTCGACGAGCCGTTCAGGTAGTCAGTGACGACCCTGTTGTCGAAACCACCGACGCTGGTGGAAGTGAAGTGCGGGAAGTTATCCTCGCTGTCATCGCCCGTTATCTCGGGGAAGTCTTTTCCGTGCACGCCGCCGAAGGCGTGGCCGCATGCCACCATGGCAATCATGTCACTAACGTTGAAGCCCTGGTTTGCGAACTTGGTCGTGTGTGTCTTGAGATCTTGATCGGGTTTTGGCACGCCCGTAACTCCCAAGTCGGTTGCGTCGATGCGGCCAGCGCGGAAGGCTACTTCAGGGCCTTGGCAAGATGCGGATGCAACCTTGACGCCGATGGCGAGCAAGTCTGCCATGGAAGAGCGCGAGGTATGCCAAATCTCCATGAAACCGAAGGTACTGTTGAATGCGTCTCCGACGTTTTCATCGCGCGCTGTCTCCAGAACGATGGACCCATCCATTCCTCCATGACCGGTGTTGACATCATGGGTGGACATGTCATGGTAAGCAGATCGTATCCATTCTGCTGCCGACTGGCGGCCATGTCCGTCGGGGGATGAGCCGCAAGGGTTGACAGCTGTGAGAAATGTTAACAGATTTGACTGTGTATTTACTTTGAAGAATCACTTACCATCTCCGAAGCCTTCGTGGATATAGCCACTCTGGATACTTATGAGATCTTCAAGGAAATCATGTTTAGAAGGCCAAGTGTAGTCAGCATTGGCGCGAAGGAATTGCAACAAAGCAATGCTCGCTAGCGATGAAGTCTTCATGATAAGAAATTAATCGAATGGAGTGAAGCGAATGTAGAGAAGACAACGTCGGTGATTCATTGCAGAGGCACCTTCACTCTTCTTTTTGTTCTCTTTGGAGCTCCTTAGCGCAGCACTTCTGCAGTTCGTATACTAGATTAGACACGAGACGGGCCATCGACTGAAACGGCTGGTGTGGTAGAAAACATCAAGGCTCCTCGTATCATCAAGTCCGTGATTGGTTACAGCGCCTTCGGCAATTCTCGGAAAAGTTAGCGATTGGTTGAAATTGCCGCTACTACAACCATTCTAACCACCTTCTGGAAAAAGGCGACGCTTGGACTGAGTGAAGATCCCGACTCGACGTGGCCAGAAGCAAACGTTACGACTCGGCCCGTATCTGGGCACGAGTGGTAAGGAGACACACCTTCTTCTGGACCTATAGCCGCTCGGAATAAGATAATGTGAAGCTGGGCGCGAGGAATTGGACGCCGCTTTTTTTCCTAAATTACTACTACCTATGGGGGTATATATGCTGCTATCTAAAAGAA